TGGTGGTACGTGCCTGTAATCCCAGCTACTCAGGAGGCTGAGGCAGGAGAATTGCCTGAACCCGGGAGGTGAAGGTTGCGGTGAGCCGAGATCGCGCCATTGCACTCCAGCCTGGGTAACAAGAGCGAAACTCTGTCTCAAAAAAAAAACAAAAAACAAATAAATAAATAAATAAAAGATAGAGGCCAGGCATGGAGGCTCATTCCTGTAACCCCAGCACTTTGGGAGGCTGAGGTGGGCAGATCACTTAAGGCCAGGAGTTCAAGACAGGCCTGGCCAAAATGGTGAAACCCCATCTTTACTAAAAAAAAAAAAAATACAAAAATTATCTGGGCATGGTGGCAGGTGCCTGTAATCCCAGCTGAGACAGAAGAATCGCTTGAACCTGGGAGGTGGAGGTTGCAATGAGCTGTGACTGTGCCACTGCATTCCATCTAGCCTGGGCGACAGAGTGAGACCCTATCTCAAAAAAAAATAATAATAATAATAGGCCAAGCATGGTGGCTCGTGCCTGTAATCCCAACACCTTGGGAGGCTAAGGTGAGTGGATCACCTGAGGTCAGGAGTTCAAGACCAGCCTAGCCAACATGGCAAAACTTCATCTCACTATACATACAAAAATTAGTCAGACATGGTGGGGTATGCCTGTAATCCCAGCACTCAGGAGGCTGAGGCAGGAGAATCCCTTGAACCTGGGAGGCGGAGGTTGCAGTGAGGCAAGATGGCATCACTGCACTCCAGCCTGCGAAGCAGAGCAAGACTCTATCTCAAAATAAATAAATAAATAAACAAAAAAAAAGAAATATAAAAATTAGATTCTTGTGTTTTTCCTGAAAAAAAAAATAAATCTAAAAAAAAAAAAAAAAAAAAAAGGATGTGTAATAAGGCATGTGAGCACGAAAATCAAGTTTTAAAATCCAAATTTAAAAAATCAGGAGCCAGGTTCTGTGGCTCACACCTGTAATCCTAACACTTTGAGAGGCCAAGGTGGGTGGATCACTTCAGCTCAGGAGTTCAACACCGGCTTGGCCAACATGGCAAAACTCTCTCTCTACAAAAAATCCAAAAAAAATTAGCCAGGCGTGGTCGCAGTTCCTGTAGTCCCAGCTACTTGGTGGAGGCAAAGGTGAAAGGACTGTTTGAGCTCAGGAGGGTGAGGTTGCAGTGGGCTGAGATGGCACCACTGCACTCCAGCCTAGGTGACAAAAGGTGACAAAGTGAGACACTGTCTCAAAAGGAAAAAAATAATCAAAGTTCATCAAAGTTCATCTAAATTCAACTGCCAGGTTTCCTTCTTTTTCTTTTTTTTTTTTTTTTTGAAATGGAATCTGGCTCTGTAGTCCAGGCTGGAGTGCCATGGCATGATCTTGGCTCACTGCAACCTCCGCCTTGTGGGTTCAAGTGATTCTCTTGCCCCAGCCTCCTGAGTAGCTGCGATTACAGCCGCCCGCTACCACATGCCTGGCTAAATTTTCTATTTCTAGTAGAGATGGGGTTTCGCCATATTGGCCAGGCGGGTCTAGAACTCCTGACTTCAAGTGATCCACCCGCCCTGGCCTCCCAAAGTACTGGGATTACAAGTGTGAGCCACTGCACCTGGCCAAAACACAGATTCTTAGGAGGAAGGAAATGATTGGGAGTACTCTACAGGTGGAATACATGGACTGAGGTAGACACATATTTTTTTAAACTAACTGGGTGAAGCCACAGGCAGAAAGTGTGACTAAATGTGGGCGGTGTGCTCGGCACCCTACCTGGGAGAACTTCAGCACCTCCACGCCAGCGTTCTCCAGCTCCTCCGTGCAGTTGGTGCTGATCACTGAATCAAAAGTTCTAAGTACCTGTGTATCAGCATAGGGAGGGGTAATGGGAGAGGAAGAAAACTTGAGTGAAGACACACTACAAACTTGGGAAGGAAACTTCAGCATTATCATTCCCCTAATTATTTCTTTATCTGTGGCCATATTGGGAGTGGACATAGGAAATTCCCCATTTCCCTATGTCACCACTGTCTACAACACAGAGGACTTCACCAACTCTTGTCCTAGAGTTAAATGAAGTCATTGTCCATTGTTGTCTCCTCCCAAAGTATGCTACTTTTTTCCTTTAAGTCCAGGGAACAGAAATTCTCTTTCCACTTTCCATATCTCAGGGTCTGCTTTTCCTCTGATATGACTGAAGGAAAAGTTCACTAGCAAATCTTGTCTAGCCATAAATCTCAATAGCTTGGCATTGGAGATATATCTGTGACCATCTACATGTGGAGTTCAGCTGGGAGGTCATGTGTCAGTCACAGAGCAGTTTTTTTTTTGTTGTTTTTTTTTTTAAGATGGAGTCTTGCTCTGCTGCCAGTCTGGAGTGCAGTGCGTGATCTCAGCTCACAGCAACCTCCACCTCTTGGGTTCAAATGATCCCCCTGCCTGAGCCTCCTGAGTACCTAAGACTACAGGCGCATGCCACCATGCCCAGCTAATTTTTTCTATTATTTAGAGAGACAGGGTTTCACCATGTTGGCCAGGATGGTCTTGATCTGGCCAACATGGTGAACATCCGCCTGCCTCGGCCTCTCAAAGTGCCAGGATTACAGCCGTGAGTCCCCAAGCCTGGTCTCTTTTTGTGTGTGTGTGTGTGTGAGATGGAGTCTCGCTCTGCCACCCAGGCTAGAGTGCAGTGGTGCCATCTCAGCCCACTGCAACCTTCACCTCCCAGGTTCAAGCGATTCTCCTGCCTCAGTAGCTAGGATTACAGGTACCCACCACCATCCCTGGCTAATTTTTGTATTTTTAGTAGAGACAGGGTTTTGCCATGTTGGCCAGGCTGGTCTCAAACTCCTGACCTCAGGTGATCCACCCACCTCAGCCTCCAAAGTGCTGGGATTATGGGCGTAAGCCACCACACCTGGCCACAGAGTAGCTCTAAAATGGAGTTAACAGTGGGGCAGGAAAAAGAGGGAGAATAAACTTGGTGTATTCGGGTTGAGAGATGGCAGGAAGCCCAAGCAGATGTGGCTCTCTGCAAAGTGATCAATTTTACAGATGCAGGAATTACCCCTCTATTGACAGATTGCCGCAGTTTATTTACTTATTTACATATAAATTCAAGCTACTGACTCCTCTGCCTTTCCCCATCCTTCTAATTTGCTGAATATATTCTAGCAAAATAATACTTACCTATGAAAAAAATATTATTCAGGACATAAATCTCCTGAAGCTAATTAGATAATCAGTTTTAAAGCCACAGAGAAAGTTTCTTGAAATACATACTGCCTAGGATTCTCAGAATCCCCGGTCTCCCTCAGTTGGCTCACATAAAGATTAGAATCAAAGCATCTTGGTAGTCAGGGATCTGATCAATTCTGTCCCTGTAGAACTAGGCCCCAAAGGCATTAGATGTCTTGCCAAAGTTACAAGTTTGTTAGAGACAGTCAGCTGCTCAGGCTAGAGTACAGTGGCACAATCTTTGCTCACTGCAGCCTTGACCTCCTGGATTCAAATGATTCTCCCACCTCACCCTCCCAAGTAGCTGGAACTACAGGCATGTACTACTACTCCTGGTTATTTTTAAATTTTTTGATTGTTTGTTTGTGAGACAGAGTCTCACTCTGTCACCCGGGTTGCAGTGCAGTGGCACAATCTCGGCTCACTGCAACCTCTATCTCCTGGGTTCAAGCGATTCTTCTGCCTCAGCCTCCCGAGTAGCGGGGACTACAGGCGCACACCACCACACCCAGCTAATTTTTGTATTTTTAGTAGAGATGGGGTTTCACTATATTGGCCAGGATGGTCTCGAACTCCTGACCTTGTGATCCACCCGTCTCGGCCTCCCAAAGTGCTGGGATTACAGGTGTGAGCCACCTCACCCAGCCTATTTTTAAGTGTAGAGATGGAGTCTCACTATGTTGCCCAGATTGGTCTTGAACTTCTCCCTGCTACTTGGGAGGCTGAGGCAGGAGGATAGCTTGAGGCCAGGAGTTCGAGACTAACCTGGGCAACATAGTGAGACCTCATCTCTAAAACTATATAAAAATCAGTCAGGTGGTACACACCTGTAATCCCAAGCACTTTGGGAAACCAAGGTGGCCAGATCACTTGGGCTCAGGAGTTCGAGACCAGCCTGGGCAACATGGTAAAACCTCAATGGGTGTGTTGGCATGCTCCTGTAGTCCTAGCTATTTGGGAGGCTGGGGTGGGAAGATAACTGGAGCCGAGCAGATTGAGGCTGCAATGAGCCATGATGCACTTCTGCACTCAAGCCTGCGCAACAGAGTGAGAGGACCTGCCTCAAAAAAAAAAAAAAAAAAAAAAGCCCAGGCATAGTGGCTCACACCTATAATCCCAGCACTTTAGGAGACCAAGGAGGGCAGATCATGAAGTCAAGAGATCGAGAGCATCCTGGCCAACAGGGTGAAACCTAATCTCTGCTAAAAATCAGCTGGGTATGGTGGCACACACCTGTAGTCCCAGCTACTCAGGAGGCAAAGACAGGAGAATCACTTGAACCAAGGAGGCAGAGGTTGCAGTGAGCTGAGATTGCACCACTGCACTCCAGCCTGGGTAACAAAAGCGAAACTCTGTCTCAAAAAAAAAAAAAAAAAAAAAAAAAA